CGGTCATCTTGTGCACACTTTAGGCTAAACAGACCAGGGCCTACAGTTTAAAGTGGATTCCGAACCACTACAAATCCATGCAGGGCACAGCCGGGACTCGAACCCGAAACCTGTCGTACCGAGAGCTAGCCACTCGGCCATTCAGGCCCCGTAGTGTATTAGGAGCTAGTGGGAGAACAACTGTTATATACGAGGTTTCATGTTATTTTTTTCCCTTTAAAGGCTCGTTCCCACCGAGGCGAGATACGTGAAGATGCAAGAGGCAAGCGACAAAATTTTTTCGACCCCTTCACAGCGAAACGTCAGAAATAGCATTACGCCTAGTGAAAAACCGCTTCGAGTTGAAAGTCGGGCGAACTGCAAACCGGTTTCAGGCGACCGCGGTGAGGCTAGTGATCGGTCAAATTTTTTCGCTTGCATCTTCTCGCCTTGGTGAGCACGAGCCTTAAATAATTAAAATGAAAATATAATTAGTTAAAATTATTCTAGAAAAACCAGCCTATAATAGATTAGAAATAAATTTTATGTATAGGGCGTCCGAGTATTATTAGACGCGTAAACCTTTTACAGTTTTGTTTTAAATTATTTAAAAAAAATGCTTTTAGGGGCTTGACGGCCGAGTGGCTAGCGCTCTGGCGCTGGGTCCCACAGGTTTCGGGTTCGAATCTCGGCGGTGCCATGGATGTTTACAGTTCTTCGGAATCCACCTTACTGGTCCAATAGGATCCTGGAGCATATTGGGGGTAGTGTTACTCGCGTCCGTAACCTATCTTCAAGCTACACGTGCCCCCTAGGTATGCTCAATGAGTAACTGTCGTGCACCCCTTGCTTATGGCATAAAGATGAACTGTCTCTGCATTGTCAGCTGTATTAGAACAACAACATAAAATGCTTTATTAATTTAATTAGAAAAAGCTTATAAATTTCAATATCAAATCATTTAATTGCTTACAATACATCCAAGCATACTCGATTTTATGCAGTGTATATACAAGTGTCTGAAGAGTTATGAACTATTTATTATGTTTTTACATAGTTTTATATTATGCTTCAGTTGTTGCTTATCAGTGAAAAATCGACATAATCCTTCACAAAATACCACATAAAAAAATCCATTGAAGCTAGATAGCGGAATTCCATAATTATGCAGATGACCGCCAATGCATGACGAGGTTTCTGACATTGGAATTTATCAACTTTTTTTAATTTCAGTTTTAATTTATAAATAAAAAGTTATTATAATCTTTTTTTTTTTTTTACATAATACAAAACTATGTTCAATAATTTAAAAAAAAAAAAAATAACTTCAGCTGCGTATTTAAAAATTAATTTTTTCCATATTAAAAAGGAAAGTTCTTAATTGAAAAATAAAGGTTTCATAAAAAAGTTGACGAGTAAAATATAAGAATTATGAAGTTGAAAATCAATTTTTTAATATGAAAATGTCCTTTTTAAGAAAAACTAAACAATTTAATAAAAAAATTTCAATATACATTTCAGAATAAATTAATATTTTTTAAAAAAATTATTAATATTTATATATATAATTACTTAAATAAAAAATGTGTATAATTAATAAGAATAATCTAACTTAATTATTAGTACAGCAATAAACGTTATAACTAATACGCAAAAGTTTTGTACATTAATTTGTAATTTTTCAAGCAAAATAAACAATTATTTATTTCCCATAGTATATTATCTATATAATTCGTTTATTTACAAAACAAATTGAAATATTTTCGTTTATTGAATTAAATTTTAATAATTTTTTGAACTAAAATCCCCCAAAACTCAAAATTAGATTTTGTATTAACCGCAATATTTCTTTAATTAAATTAATTAAAACTATTTTTTTCGAAAGAAGTTTTGGAATAATTGAAAATATTACAAAAATAATTTTTCAGTTTAAAATTATAGAAAAAAGGTCACTTTATTCTTCATAATTAATATATACGACTAAATTGGATATACTAATTTAAACATTTCTATTCTGTAGAGAAATCCAATAAAAAGTTTGCTAAAATAGTTCTTTAAAATTATGTTTACAGATAATAAATTATTAATTATTATAATTTCCTACTGAAAATTCCTTTTTCTGTGCTGGAATGACTATGAAACGGACATTGTATATTTGAAACATATTTAATACTATCTCTTACTTGCCAGTAGGCAGAAGGCCTATGCCCACCATGGTCTATTGCGTCAATGAAGAAGAAGAAAATTATGTATTGATAAAAATATATTGCTTCAAGTATAGCTTAATTAGAGATAAGACATTTATTATAAGACATAAGTTTTACTTGATAACATTCAATTTTTAATAAAAATATTTTAAAAAATTAAACAATGTTTAAAATAACTAGTAAAGGGATCTCACTGCAAAATAAAAATTTGTTACAATATTTTCCGAAAATTAATTTGTTTGTAAAAGGCAGTGTAAGTGATAGTATGTCTACACTCAACAAAAATTTAATTATTTAAACAAACCACATTTATAACAATTTACTTAAGTGTGTAAAAAATGTGAATTTATACAATCGTCATTTGAACAAAAAACATTTTCTCTCACGTGACTAGTATTATTTATATCTTATGTTGTTGTTTGTTGTTTCTTATCCCACTTGGCTGGCCAAGCCCACGAGCCCATACAGCTCATGATTGAAGGGGAAGGAAGCAGCTTCTGTTGTGATGGAGCACCCGTAGGTAGAAGCCTGACTTTTGCTCCGTGACGCTCTTACAGTCATAGGAGACCGGAACCTACGGCTTAAAGTGGATTCCGAACCACTACAAACATCCATGGCACCGCCGGGATTCGAACCCGAAACCTGTGGCACCGAGCGCCAGACACTCGGCCATTCAGGTCCCAAATTTGCCAACGGCACGTAGTGTTCCCAGGTGGTCACCCACCCAAGTACTGACCGCGCCCAATGATGCTTAACTTCGGTGATCTAACGAGAACCGGTATATTCAGCATGGTACGGCCGTTGGCATATTTATATCTTATTAAGTTCAAATATAATTAGTCCCTTAGAAAGATGTGGTAATTAATATTTGTCAAATCAATATATAAAAATTATTGTACGAAACATGGGGATTCATTTACGAATCTTATAAAACATGGTTAAAATACTTGAATTGGTTTCAATAAAAATAAAACTCATTGGATGTATTGCAATAATATATTAAATTGTTTTCTTTTATACATACTGTGCTTATTTAATTTTTTTACCAATATTGGAAAACTTTACTCTTCTTACCTTACCATATATACTAGTACATTAGGCTACAAACCTAAATGCATTGTGCACTTTATTAATAATACAATTTCAATGGGTCAGAATTCTTAACATACAATTATGCAAATCTAATATACAATTATGCAAATCAGTAATGCCGACTTGAAAGTTATGTTTGTAGGGTATCTGGTCAGAATTGTTTAGCATATTGATAAAAATCACAATTGAGTAAACTCATTGTCAGTACGAGACATACTGTAGAGATTGTTGTTTTAGCAACACTTAGATGAGGTAATATCCATTTACAGGATTATTTAGATACAAGAACCTTCCAGGAGGATGTGTTTATAGGAGAACTAGCCAAAAATTGTTCCGCATACTGGTAGTAGTCTATTCAGAAGTAGTCCTAAATAGACTTCAGGATTCTCGGAGAAAAAGAAATGAAAATATCTTTAACTCAAACAATATGGAATTAAAAAATAATTTAAATAAAAATAAGTTATTGTTAAGTTATTATTGTTATTTAGTTTCATTAAGACTAATTCAGGAAAACACAATAAATGTCGGTTTGGTTCGGTTTATCACTCTACAGTCATCTTCTGTACACTTTAGGCTACATAGAACGGGGCCTACAGTTTAACGTGGATTTCGAACCAACAACAAACATCCATGCTACCTCCAGGATTCGAACCTGAGGCCTTTAGTACCAACGGCCAGAGAGCTAGCCAATTGGTCATCAGGCCGCCAATAAATGACGGACAATACTAAATGCAGATGAAAATAACATTTTCGGACAATATGAAATAAACAGTCGATTAAAATTAATTGGAAACTAAACCCAATTCAACAAAAACACAAAAAATAATTGCTAAATACTGATATTTATTCGGGACAATATAAAATAAACAGTTGTTTAAATTTAAATTGAAACCGAGCTTCATTCAAGAAAAGCGAAAGCAATAATACAGTTTAAGAGACTTGTGTCTCTTGAGAGCCACCATGCAATGAATTAAAACAATATTGGAAGAAGATAACTATTTTAATTTAACGACTGAAAGATTAACGATTTAACTAGTTGAGGATAACTATTTATTCATTATTGTCTTTTAGTATGGGGTAATAGAGACGAAATTAGTATTTAATCAAACATCATGAAATTAATTAGTCATTTAATGTTTCATAATTGTAAAGCCCAATTCAAGTTAAGCGCAAGAAATGACTTTTGAATATAGATGTTTATAAGGATTTTATTCGGGACAATATAAAATAAACAGTCGTTTAAATTTAAATTGCTATTAAGCTTGATTCAAGAAAAACATAGTAATTGATGGAGAATGTTAAATATAAATAAAAATTAAATTTTTCCACAATAAGAAATAAACAGTTCGTTTAAAATTAGTGTGAAACCGGGCCCAATTCAAGAAAATAAAAAAACTATAATACAATTTAAGACTTAACTTGTCTACTCTGGAGACCCACCATGCGTGATGGGTTACCTAAATTAAAACAATTTGGAGAAGATAACTATTTTAAGTAGTTATAGGTGGTAATACAGACGAAATTAGCATTTATTCAAACATAATGAATTTGATTAGTCATCCATTTGTAGTGGCTCGAAATCCACTTTAAATCGTAGGTCAGTGTCTAATATGACTACTACTACAATTATTAATAATAATAATAATAATATTAATAATATTAATAATATTATTATTATTATTATTATTATTATTACTATTATTATTATTATTACTATTACTACCGATCACCGAAGTCAAGCATCATCGGGCGCGGTCAGTACTTGGGAGGGTGACCACCTAGGAACACTGCGTGCCGTTGGCAATTCAAAATTGGAGCCTGAATGGCCGAGTGTCTAGTGCTCTGGCACTCGGTGGCACAGGTTTCGGGTTCGAGTCCCGGCGGTGCCATGGATGTTCGTAGTGGTTCGGAATCCACTTTAAGCCGTCGGTCCCGGTCATATGACTGTAAGAACGTCACGGAGCAAAAGTCAGGCTTCTACCTACGGGTGCTCCATCACAACAGAAGCTGCTTCCTTCCCCTTCAATCATGGGTACGTATGGGCTCGTGGGCTTGGCCTAGAAATGTCTGCCAAGTGGGATAAGAAACAACAACTATTACTACCACACCACACCACAGTGCCTAGAATTGAGTTTGCCCCTTTACAATTTGGGAATGATGTGGGTGAGAAAAAGTCTGATTGGGTTCTGTGACGCTCTACGGATTCTGAACCACTACAAACATCCAAGACACCGCCAGGATTTGAACCCGATACCTATGGTACCAAGAGCCAGAGTGCTAGCCACTCGGCCATCAGGCTCCTGTCCAATATGGCTGAAGAGTGTAAGGCATAGGGCTGACAGCGCTACCCCGTAAATAGGAAACATCTCCTGTCTCAAAAACTGCCAGTAATCAGATGTCTTTGGTTCACTATGGGTCTGTTGTGCCAAATGAAGATTGGTTTGGTTTGTCGCTCTACGGTTATCTGTATGCACGAGGGCTAAGCAGACCGGGTCCTACTGTTTAAAGTTGATTTGCACCAATGAAGAAAAAACAATACATGCATCAAACAAGGTCGCGCTTTAAATTGAAGTGTCTCATATACCATTTTAAGTAACGTAATCTTTTAATAAAATTATATCTATATTTATATTGCATCTTAAATTTATAGTACGAATTTGCATCGAATGATAAGATTTCTAAACACCTTATGCACATATTTTAATATTTTACTATAAAGTGAGTGCTAAGTGCGTCATAAGCATATTAAACAACTAATTTTAGTTCCACGAAACTCAAAGGCATTCAAACTTAATGCTTTTAAGTGCATTCAGAACTATTTTAACTAAACATATCTTACTATCGATAATGTTCTCGTCGTTTATTTATGCTGAATATGTACATGAACTATATGGCTTTAAGTATTAATTTCAAGAATCCTTTTCTACTTATTAAAATTAATATCTTCGCACAAAGGTATTATGATCGGGGATCATTTCATGAACCTGTTGTTTTCAAATATTTTATAAATAAATCATTAAGATACAGAAATCTACAAAATTTCAAATTAAGGAACTTGAAAACTATCCCCAGAAGAATGCTACTTACTATTTATTGCATATTGATGTCTGAATAGAAAAATAGCATTTTTAACAACTTGTGTTTAACTACATTCAAATGGATTGAAGCTGCACAATTGTTGTATTTCAATTCCTCATATTAAAGCATTATTTTTCGCATTGATAAAATTAGAAATGGCTTTAAAATTAAGATGTTTGTTTTATTTCAATTCCTTCTATTAGCTCACACTCTCCCTATATATATCTTGTTCAAATTTTCAAACGTTCATAAAATACTTTTTATTCATCCACTCCAGTTGAAATATATTTTTTTGAACTTGTAGTGGATGACACTTGATGTTATGACAGTTTTTTCAAATATTATTTCATTAATTAAATTTAAATAATTAATTTTAGTTTTTTTTTTTAGATTTAGGTTGCATTTATCTGCCCATAGATGGCGCCAGATAAACTTTATAAATCATTTTTCATTCATTTTTTTTAAGGACTTTCTGCAATAGAGTGAAAAAAGTAGGAATTGACTTTTTTTTTTTTATATTACTTGTTTATTATTGTAATCTACAAGTACGAGGAGGGGGGAGGGTGCACATTGGAAGCCAGATTGTAGTGATGTTGATTGGGCAGCTGCATTAGAAGTAGGTGTGTTTGGGTTGAGACTTGAGACACTAGTTGAAGAACACACAGATCACACACGCGCATAAATTAACATATTTAACACATTTAAAGACATTATAGATGGGTGGAAGGATTCTCCTAAGCCGAAAATAAAGATACTCAGGTACGTGAGGGTTGTCAGGAATATTTCTTCTCCAGATGAGAATCTGTAGGACAACTATTACGCAGGGTTGCGTTAAATAATTTCCTCTCAGTGTGAGAGACTGTAAACTAATAGTTTCTCAACAGAAGCGCTTGATGGCGTTAAGGCTCGTGCCCAGCGAGGCGAGAAGCGTTTAAGCGACAAGAGTTGACCAATCAGTTGCCTCACCGCGTTCGCCTGAAACCGGTTTGAAATGCACCGCTTCGAGTCGACCCACTTTCAACTCGAAGCGGAACTTCACTGGACGTAATGCAATTTCTGACGTTTCGCTGTGAAGGGGTCGAAAAAATTGTTTTGCTGTGAAGGCTGTCGAGAAAACATCACTCGTCTTGAAATCTACCAATAGGTAGATGGCTTTGGCCCGTAATGAAGTTGTTGTGCCAACGAAGAAGAAAAAACGGTCTACTGCAACTGCATTTTCTACACAAAAAGTTCTTAATATCGGACTGGCGCTTGGCACCACAGGTTTCGGGTTCGAGTCCCGGCAGTGTCATGAATGTTTGTAGTGGTTTGGAATCTACTATACACTGCAGGTCCCGGTCTGTTTAGCCTAACTTGCGGTTCATGACATAGATTTGGAAACACAAGGACCATCAATGTAAATAAAATATGTACGTGTGTACATTTGACGTATTTAAATGCTTTTTTGTATACTAATTAAAAGGAATGTGCCAGAATATTTTAAAAGAAAGATTTATATATTTGCATTGATAGAACCTTATTTATCTATCTTCTTGGTTCATGACACAGATATGGGAAATACAAAGATCTTCATTATAAAAAAAAAAGTATTTGGCCTGATTGAAATGTTTTTTTTATAGGATATTTAGGATGAGAGTGACACAATATTTTTGTATTTTAAACAGAAAAATATTGTTAGTAAAGAAAGATTTACATATTTATATAGATAGATCCTAAACGTGTTTAAATCCGCGTTTATCTCAAGATTGTTCATTACACAAATTCAGAAAACGGAAGGACTTCTGATGAAAAAAAATAATTTGTATGTTTGACTTGGATAATTGACTTTACTGAGTATGCCAAAATGTTTCATCCAATGAATGTTTTAAGGAAAGGTTTAGGTATTTGCATTCTAATGAGAGAAAAAAATTCAGAACGGTGTCTTAGCTTGCACAAAATCGGTGCTTTGTTTCCTGGATCATCTTCATCTACCTCTACCTTTTGAACATCAGCATCACTTAAGAGGATGAGGGTGATCCCTAAAATGCCATCACCCGTAATAAAAGTAATCCCCGCGCTATTAAGGAAGAACTTACTTTTATTACATCTCCCAATCATCAATGCTTATAGCAGGATTCTACTAACTACAACTATGATAACTGCTAACTACAGATTAAAGCACTGAGATTTCATGGCCTTATTAAAAATTTTTTTAATACAAGTTATATAAATTAAAGAATCAAGTTTTCAATTTATTTAAATATCTACCCGTTTAAATTCTTCAAACTACTCATCTTACACGCTTCGTTTCCCCCTCCTCATGATTAAATTAATATAAGTGATTTGGAGAATAAGGACCTTATGGCTGAGTGACTAGCGCTATGGCGCTCGGTGCCACGAGTTTCAGGTTTGAGTCCCAACGGTGTCATAGATGTTTGCAGTGGTTTATTATGACCGTAAGAGCGTTAAGCGTAAGGTTGACCACCCTACTATGTAATTTTTGGAAGCGAAAAAAAATTCCTTAAAGAAGTAATAGCATCACTAATATCTTTACAGAGCAATATCTAATATTAGAATATTTTTGTCATGGTAGTTTGAAAACGGGAACCTGATCTCCGAGTGACTTGCGCTACGGCGCTGGTGCTCCAGATTTCGGGTTCGAGTTCATGTGACGTGGAATTCATTTTAACCCGTAGGTCAAGGTCTCATATGACAGTAGAGCGTGTCAGAGACCAATCAGATTTCTCACCCACATCATTCCCAAACTGTAAGTGGGCAACTCAGCTCTAAGCACAGGGATATGGTATGGAATGTAGTAGTAGTAGTAGTAGTAGTAGTAGTAGTACCCCATCATCTGTTTCCTAATTTCCTATGAAGGCCATGGTTCGGCCATGGTGTAGGGCCAAAGAATTAGTATTAATTAGTTTATTTTAAAGAACAATGCTATTGCTTGAGTTCCTAGGAAAGATAAAGCTGAAAATTAAGCCATTATTAAAAGTTACTATTGAGTTAAGGTAATTCAAGTTGTGGTAAAATCAATACTTTTTTAATGTTTATCGTCAAAAAAAAAAAAAAAAAAAAAGAAGATTTGTCTCTAACGTGAAAGATTTCAAAATCGAATACCGACTTTTGATCAACCGTCATATCTTGTTTTCATTTAAACTGTTCAAATATGTTTAGCAGGAAGAGCAAGGTTCAAATTCGCTGGTGGTGTCAGTTGTCGTCCCTGCTTTCAATAATGAAGATATTTGCCTCTATTGCAACGCCTCGGTCTATATTAGAATTATAATGGCTTCAAGAAGAGGCCCACTTCCAGGTTCATGAGAGCACTTTAAATTTCATTTACAAGCATTTTATATATATACAGAATTATGGGTTATTAAAATTATTATTTACAACGAAACAATTAAATTTCATTCACAAGTGTTAGTGTCAAACTGCAAAGTCAGAAAATTTCAGAGTTCTCGAGTCTACGACGAATCTAAGCACCTGGACTGCGATAATTATTATCACCTTAATTATCCCACTGCGGGATAAAGGAAACTGCAAAAGGCTCACCTTGAAAACAGGCGAAAACTCATAAACTCACTTAACAGAAAAAGTGAATAACACTTGTCGACTCGTCTCTGAACACTTATTTCTTCTCGAAAAACTTCCCTTTAAAAAAATCCATCAAGAAGTGGAGGGGTCAGCTTCCTTCATTTCTCATTGGAGTAGACATTTTCTCAGCCCTTGATCTATC